GCTGGCTAATACTGCCACACTATATCCAAGCACGCAGTGCAATGTTCTGTTGCACACTTCCAATTAGTATGAAGCTGTTTTGGTGATATCAGCACAGGCTCAAAATGCCTCCCACTCCACAAACGCTACACAGTGATGAAATCTGCTCTAATAGCTGGGTGGCAGCAGTTATGTTTGCCATTGGCCATTTCTGTAACCCAAAGAGAAGCTGCATTTCCAGAGCACGATTTGCATTGCAGATGGGCAAAATCACCTTCTGAGGGTGTTCATGTTTGTCAACCAACCAGGACAAGGCTCTTCATGCAGTTATCCTGGCAGAGATGCATCCTCACCCAGCTGGAAGCCATCGGGGATTCCCCTGGGCTAGGCTCCAGGTGGGGGACAGGAGGACAGCAGTAACAACACTCAGAGCAGCTTTCCAGCTTCTCTTCAGCCTACACTGTTTAATATCTGGAACATCTAATAATTATTATTAATTGCACTTAACAGCAAACTGTAAAATAAATGTGAGGAATGCACAAACAAACTCTGGCACACCTGCAGCTGAGCCCCTGCTCTTCACCTGGTTCCAGCTTTACCATGCAAAGTTTGAAGCATCTGTTACAGACATACTACAACCAAGCTTTGCAAAATCCATCAACCTGCAAGCCTTGGTAACAAAACCAGCCCAAGAGATGTAAGCAGCAATCTGAGAAGATACTCCCCAGGAATTAGATTTTGTAAACAAACATTTCAGCTAATTGCTTTCTTGTTCTCAGTGCAGTGAAGGCCCCATTTAGCCAAAGCATTTGTCTACAGAGCTTAGTTTCTTCCATCTAATGAACGTTGATCTTGTCTTAGCTTCGGCTGGTATATCATCTGAATCAACATGAAATGCTAATGGAGAGAGATGCTTAATATCATTTCAAGTGTTTAAGTTACAACTGCAGCTATTAAGGCAAATCCATTTTACCTGTTCCTCCTCAGGCTCCCCAATGAGACAGATTTAGAAGTTTCCATGGGGAGAAGTGATTCATAGCAGCTACACAGATGAGAGAAAAAGCCTTTCACCATTAATTACAGCCAGCGTTCTCCAAACCCAAGCTGGTCATTTCGCCGGCACAACACATAATTAGCAAGGCTCATTTTATTTCATTGCCTTCACAAATTAGTTCACTTTTGAAAAAGCAAGGTGGTTGCCTCCAGCAGCAGGGATAACCACGCCAACCAGACAGAAAAATAAGGCTTTGTCATCCACTTGTAGCCCATGGCAGAAAAATCCAACGGGTCCCCTGGTTTTCATTCCCCTTACTGGCTCAATGCAGGAATCAGTGTTGCTCCCTGTGGCATCCCAAACAGGAGACTTTGAGGTGCACCCATTTAAGACTATCACAGCCAGTCATGTGAATGTAGTTCTTTGGGCAGTGAGAGAACCTTCCTCTATTTCAGCTTTCCAACTGCTCACTCAAAGTGCAGGACCTGCAATAGCCAGAGCAGTGAGGAGGAGAAGGATGCTTCCTGCTCCTCACCTGAAGAGGAACTGCACTGGGTCCATCCCCAGTGGCATCTTCACAGAGTATGCTCTAGAGACATCACAGTAATAGAAGCAGGGGATGATGATGTGTAAGAGATGCTGGACTCACCAACACAGAGAACGTTCTCAGACACCACCTGCATTTTAAAGCAGGACTTTTTCCTTCTTTGCTCAGGCTGCCCCTCAATCTCTTTGAGGAGCAACTTCTCCACAGCAGAGGCTTCTGGAGGATGCACCTGCCAAGATCCCAGTTTTGAACTAGGCACCCAAAATAATGGCTGGAGCCCCGCTAGACAGAGCATGCTGCTGGAGGCTATTGTTGAAAATACTACAGTTATCCTCATGCAGATTTTAAAAGGCCACTATTTAGGCATGTAAATTCTGAAGGGCATTAGCAGCATCACTGACACACGATGACAGCCAGCCCAGCTTTGGGAAGGGAATAAGCAGCAGCAACTGCCTGAATAATTGATGTGCTTTTACTCTGCCCCATGGCCCAGTTATTACATTGCTCACTCTCTTCAACTGCCTGTGGTTTCTAAATTAATTAGAAATCTTAATGTCATGGCCAGCCAGTTAAAAAAAAAAAAAAAAAAAAAGACATAGAACAAAAGAAGAGAGTGCTTCTCATGCCCTTGAGCCTTGGGATTTCTTTCTTGGTCTGGCCATGCAGGAAGCAAAGGCACAGTCTCAATTTCTGCAGCTTTGGACCCTACTCACTGATGCTAACAGCAGCACACCATTAAATCCACTCCATCTGCAAAAAGCCCCCACTGCACAGGGGTGAACATCCCCATCAAGGTCTCTGCCTGTGTGAGATGGGGCAAAGCCTTTCCTAGGGGCTGACTCATGCACAGAGCAGCTCCTGTGTCCTCTGCAATGAACTGCATCTGATACATCCCTAGCCCAGCCATAACAACCAAGTGCCGTGCACCACCAAATAAAAAGATACCACTGCAGTCTGGAGGAATAAAAGAGCTCATGGCTGTTCTGCTCACATAGCTGACAGAGATAAATGACTCTGGGGGATCCCATTCACGGGATGATTGTGTGTGACTACCTGACCTCACAACAGAGACGAACAAATACAACAATGCGAGTGGCCATTTTTTTGCTGCATATATACCCTTACCTACTTACAATATTGCCTATGTGAAACTTTAAAACAACACCTATAGCTTTCTAGAAACCTAGTGGGAATAATTCCCATGTTTGAGCCACATTGCAATAGCGTGGGTAGCTGTGTTTCAAGGCCTTGGAAAGCATGTAGCCGTGATGAATGTTGACATGTTTTTAATCTCTTATTTGCAAAAAAGAAATACTGCTTTTTCCAAAAATCTCTTTACAACTGTCCCAAAAGCATAAATAAACATAAATGACTGAATTTGTATAGATAATTTTAAATTGCATGGATAACTTAGACTAATATTTCACTCTCTTATAAAAGAGGAGTGAAGCATCAGTGAGACTCAACAGTATGGCACAGTCTTCCTCTTTGGCAAAACATTGTGGCATGCTGTAATCTGCACTGCTTTTCCATTATTCCCTTTAGAAAATTCAGTATTTTAAAAAAATCTGATTTTTCAACCTTTCTTTTTGACCTAGATAAACAGACTTATACTCAGAGCATTGAACTGTCTGACTCCCAGTACAGTTATCCTACATCTCCTATAAATGTCAAGCATCCAAACAGGACAATCCCACAGAAGAGAAATGAGCTGGTGATGGTGACAGAAAGCATTACAGAGGTTTAAATGACACTAAAAAGCCAAATGGAAGTATCCAACAAAATGAATCACATTTGTTCGCATGTGGGAGATAGTTCTAAGCAATTTGACCCCAAATACAGGACAATGTGGTTCTCCAAAAGTTTAATGCGTTTTGACTTAGCATTAATCTGCTCCAAGAGCTTCCTCTTCTGTCTGCTCTTTTTCCTCTGCCGTCATAATTTTGTACTAAATTAATGCATGCAGAGAGCACCACAAGAAAAACACACAAGGTTCCACGCAAGTTGCAAATTTAGGCCATTGAAGTATTTTTCAACATGCTTCTTGAGACTACTCTTCTATTTGTAGGGTGGAAAGATGGACTTTCAGAAAATGGTAATGCTGATACATGGAGAAAGCAGAATTGTTCCACCCTATGATTTGCCTGTGTTTCTCATCTTGGCTTCATACTGCCTCTAAAATGCACGTGCTAATTATCAGCAGTATGGCACTGCAGATGTAGTGAACACAAGATGTCATTCACATGCATTTCTCAAATCCAAGCAAAGAAATTAAGTGTCTTGTAAAAACATGTCATTTGTTCACACTGAAAGTTTCCTGACCCCAGCAACATCTGCTGTGTCCCTCTCTTCATATCCATGTTTTTAAGTCTCACTGGGCTTGCTTTGCTGTACTCAGTTTTACAGACCTTCACATTATATATTTATTTTGTTCTTCATACTTATATCTACTGATAGAATTTTTACTTTAAATTCATTATAATAATTACAATAAAAACTTACTGAAAGGCTTAGCTCATGCAGATTCCTCAGCTCAACCCCAGTAAGAATCATGCCCAACACAGACTTTACGGCAGCAGAGGTGAGCTCCTCTTCTGGATGACCACACAGCTGAAGGAATGTACCAGCTGAACCAGGAGCACCACCCTTCAGCGTGGCCATGCCTGCCTTGCTCAAGCTTTCCTCCAAGGAGGAAAGAGTGCAAAACCACTCAGGGCGCTGTAGGAGTGCTCACCTCTCAGCCTTGGAAAGAAGGTAGAAGAAAATACAGGAGATGGCAGCAGTACGGAGCAGCACAGCTCTGCTCACTGCTTTTTGGAGCCTACTCTTTCAAGATGCAGCCCCTGGCAAAGTGTCTCATCAAAGTTTGATGAACAGCATTTTGTTTAACACCAGCAGCTGAGCCACAGCCCTGCCGAGCTGCGCTGCACCAACAAAATGTCACGACCCAGGAGGATGGGGAAACTGGATTGCAAGAGGTAGGCTTGCAGGCAGCAGAGGAGCTCTCAACCTCTGGAGCAGGGTGCAGCACCCCACAAGCCACTCTCGGGCACTGAAACACGAGGAGGCTGCTGTAACACTGATCCTCACTGAGCTTCCTCTGACACTCGCCCAGCAGGCTGCAAGGCTCCACCAGGCAGCCCTGCAAACACAGCCAAGTCTGCAGCCCTTTCCCATTGGCACATACATGCCTTGATATCTCTTTCCCTCCCTTTTACCCTTTCCACTTCTGTAAGTACTGAAAATATTCACAGTATGCTCTTCCCTACCATTTGCTTCAGCATCTTCATGCTCTGCTGCTTTTGTTCCCCTGTTCCCTTTACGTAAAGGAATATTCTCACGAAACAACTGCGCCTGCATAACTGAAAATACACAAAACCCATATGCAGACACAGTGCTGGAGGCTCATGCAATGTGATCAGGTCTAAATATTTTAGCACAGCAAACAAATAAGGCTCAACAGTATGGTCCAGTAATTACCTTTTCTTGTTCTTCAGGATTGAGAAATCCACACGTTATTTTTTGCAGAGTACTGTATTCAACATTTCTGGAAAAAAAGAGAAAGAAAACAATTAAAAAATGTTTATACTGGCCTCTGAGGACATATCAGGCACTCGTGAACTTTCTGCTATGCATTTACCAGAGGAGAGAGCAATGAACAACTGATTTTGGTCAACAGAACTGATTTTTGAAAAATAAGAATTTTTAATGTCTATGAAGCAGATTTCTGCATGGGAAAACAGTAGTAACACATACAAAACAATGGTCAGAGGAAAAACTGGTGGACAATATCACTGCCAATAATTAAAAAAACCTTAGAGATGTAAGTAGATCTCCAACACACATGCAGTTATGTGAGTATCTCTTCCCACAACAGGCTCCAATGTGATCTGGAGAAACTAATGTTAAACCAGACAATTTCTCAGAGGTTTTTAGAGGTCACTGCACCAGAATAAAAACCATCTAGTTTGAAAAGAAGTTAAAATAAATTATGATTGCAAGGATGGTAATTCCTTTTCCTTGGCAGCTACAACTTAAAATTTTTCTGTCCCTTTACATCTTCAGTATTTTCTTCTAATTACAGTGTTAGATGCTAAATATAATATTAATTGACAAAACAATGAAATGGATGGATCCAGGTCAGCCTCCTGGAAGTGTTGGTTTTATTAGGATTAATTGCACATGAAAAATTGCTCCTCACAGTTGAGATTGCCACAAATGAAACTTCAGTGAGAATCAGTCTTGTCAGAGTCAAGCTGGATGGCACAAGACCCCAGGACCTCATCCCAACCCAGTGAAACAATTAGAAAATATAGTTAAAAACCCATGTAAGGGAAACAATGAGTCCTGCCTGAATTTTGCTTCCAACATCATCTACAAACCCAGCTCATTTTCTGCAACCTATAGGGGAGGACACAGCTCATATTTGAAAGGAGCGTATTGAAATGAAAAAACTTTAAAGGCTGATGAAAAAAGGACCCAGTGTTAAATTGGGGCCAGTTGTTCCAGCTACAGCAGTGAGTCCCCAAGCCTTTCCCAGCCCGGGCTCTATTACAGCTTTCACTCTGCTGCCATGGTTCCACACCCTGGACCACCCTACACCTTCAGAAATTTCAGACCACAACAAATGCTCCTGAGGCTCCAGTTTCACATCTGAGCCAATCCAGAATGGTCTTGCCTTAATTTTCAATGACAGAAAAAGAAAGTTGCACCCAGCTCTAAGCACTCCTCAGCAGATCCTCCCCTGAGAGCACGAAAAGAACGAGGCCAAGGCATCGGTCCCTAACGCATAATTCATCTTATTTACGTACTGAAGGAGCAATTGCTTGCATTCAGCAACCTTGGAAGTCAGACAAGTAAATTAAAACTTAAAATAAGGCTTGAGACTCCAGCATGCATGCTGCTTTTTGAGTGATTTCTCTATAATAGGCAAGTATGGATGCTCTGGAAGAAAAAGAGACCTGTTCCAGCTTGACTGTCAGCAAAATTGCCTCTGTAAGCAATAAACAGGCTTTGGATCACCTAGGAAATTTACAGGCAAACGGTAAGGCCAGTTATTATTCCTCACCGTACAAATGAAAAAGTCTCTAGATGTAAAGACTAGACCCATTTTTAGCCTTGGATTTTGACCAAATAAATGCAGTTTCAGTAGTATAGAGCAGACCAGGCAACACCTCATAAGGACATCCATATACTTTATTTCCAGGAAAAATGCAATTTGTTTAGACTACTCTACTTGTGCTTTATAGCAAAACCTTTATTTGGTTCCAAGAGGCTTTTGGAGAATAATTCTCATTTGATGGCAGCAGTACAGAGCAGACAAATTTGCCTGGTTTGAAGAAGTTAATGTTTGTTACCCCATTGCCTTGCAATGGCTTTTAAAATAAAATTAAAACAAGATCTTTGTTTCATTTATGATGCCCCACATTTCACTTCTGCTTGAAGCATAAAGGACTAGAGATAGCACAACATACTGTGGTTTATGGCTCTTCTGTGTTATTTTAGGATTCAGCACATGCTCTTCTCCCAGCTCACCTTTATTTTATCATAATGTGAGTGCACTGACTGGTAAATTTTTCTTGCCTTCCCTTCCCAAATGCCAAATGTGTAACCTTGAGTTGGCCTCTGCCACATGCATATTTCTATGCAGATCTCAAATGCAGACTGGGGAATTCTTGTTCATATTAAAATAGGAAGGGAACCATACAGGGATTCCTGCAAGAGCAAAGATCTTGCAAAATACTTGTAAGAGAGTCAACGCTCACTGGCAGTGGCGCACTGCAGGAACTACAGGGATTTGGCATTAGCCCTAAAACAGAGAATAAACACACTAAAGAAAGAGGCATTGCTCTACCTCTGACTCCTACTAATACTCAGAGCAGTGGAGCTCCTGCCCTTTATGCAAGGGAACCTTGTTTTGATCCCCTTTACTGCTCTCCAGATCAGTTGAGTAACCAGCTTGCCCTCAAAACCTACAGTGCTGCTCAGAAAGCATTGGCTGCTTCTTCCCCAGTTCTCCCCTGGTCACACTCTGCTTGGACAATTTGGGAAGTGGTCTCTCTCAGGCTGCTAAGGAGAGGGGAAATCACCTCCCTCCCTTGCTTCATCCCATATTACTCTGGAGCTCTACCTTCCAAGTTTACTGCTCAATGAATAATGGAGATACTTCAACTTAGCACATTTTTACTAACTTGATGCTGTTGTTGATGTGGCTAAAATATTTCTAAATCCTCTGCTATGGTGAATAACACATGCACCCAAAGAGGACAAGGGCACATTGCATCACAAGATGCCACATGAAGGGTAATTAAACTGCAAACTGGCATGCTGTTGCACCTCCATCCCAAACCAGAAGCTGCTAATAAGGAGAGCAATGATAAACACTTTATTTTGGCAACAGCAAAGGCCAGGAGGAGAATCCATCAAGATGGGATGACTCACTCTCAAGGATCTGTCTCCACTGCAAAAAGCCAAGCAGTCCAATTTCTGTGTAAGTGCTCACAACAGAGGGACCCACAAAAAAGAACATTAAGTTTTAGGCAACCAGTAGGAGGCTTCTGAAAAAGCCTTGTTTGCTAAAATGTACCAAGCACCTCGCTTCTGGCTGTACAGAACCAGAGGAGTGAGTACCCAGTGCCAGTGTCATGCTTTTGGGGATGAAAATCCGCACGGAGCAGCACTGCCTTGCTCCCGGGCATCAGCATCTCTGCATCAGCTCAAGGAAACCCAATCAGCAGCTTTCACCCACGGTGACTTAATTAACAGGCACCCTACAGATTTCTCCAAATCCTCCACACTGACACCCTCCATTACCAAGCTCTTTTGATGAAAGTGATTAAAGCTAACGATTATAATTTCTTTTAGAGATGCCCCTAGAGGCTTTGGCGAGGCTCAGGCTTCATTGTTCACAGAACACAGCGCAAAGAAATCTCTCTCCTGAAGAGCTCATCCTCCACAAAGACAAGGCAATCAAGGAATAGCAGAAAGAAAGGCAAGGAGATAAATTTTTGCTCAAGGTCAAAAAGCAGGCCCTTGACAGAGCTAGAACAAAACTCACCTCCTCTGGAGTACTCATAAGGCCATGCTGAGTCTCAAATACTACACTCATCAGCTAATGCTCTTTATTTATCAAGAGCAGGTGAAGTAGTTCAGTGTTACTTGCTGTTCTGGTTTTGATCATGCCTTTTTGAGGTGGCTCTCCAAGCAAAGCTAACCATGACAGTGAAAGGGTTACTTCCCCTTCACGTTCCAAAGAAATGCTTCCGATACTTTTTCATGCAGATTACTGACAAATCAATCCCCCTCAAATTTTTTATTCTTCCATCAATGCTCTCAACCAAGAGTGATTGCTCAAGCACCCTTCTCAACCTTACACTTCCAATTTTTTTAAAGAATGGTCAATCTCAATATGCATAATTATAATTGCAAATGCATCGTTTCATCTTGCACTCTTCTGTTTTAATGGGATTATGTACCGTCAAATCTCTACAGTAACATTTAAAGTAAAAATGTCCTACGTCATTCATGTGTGGTTTAGATATTTAAAACATTAATATGCAACGTGTGGTATTACGAAAGGTTAGATTTCTAACTACCTGGCTCAGTTATGACACCATAAATCTGATGTAATCTTCACTGATTACTAGAAAAATCTTTCCAATGCAGTATAACTGTAATTTGATAGAACTTCTTGACATACAATTAATCAGCAAGAGAGTGGTTCTGTTGTGCTTTGTACAGGGACAAAACAAAGCACAAGTGTGCAAAGTGAGTGAAGCTTTTAGTCTTTGCAAACAACTTCAGAGCATAAAATATTAAAAGCAATGCTAAACTAATCTCTGGCAAGAAGTGCAGGCAATTCACTACAACTCATATTACAAATGCCTTTGGTTTACCATTTAAAAAACATTAGAGTCTACCATTATGGTTGTGTATCATAGTGCTGTACATTAACCTCTGTAATTTTCCAACATGGTATATTTCAGGAACACAAATTAGGCTATCTGGCAAAAAAAAAAGCTTAAAAAGATGCAATATTTAAAGAGAGCAGACAGGAAAGCTCCTTGCTCCTTCCTGCCAAAGACAGCAGGAGAAAGTCCAGTCCTCTTTTCCTCAAAGCAAATGGTAAAATCCCATAATTTCCCCTGGAACGGACAGATCCGCAGCATCTGGGAAAGGATTCAGTCTAAATACATCGCAGACATAACAGATGAATGATTTGGGGGAAAGGGGTCGCCTGCTCTCATTTTAACACTTCTGTGTAACAGGAACAGAGCAGGTCATTTCTGTAAGCTTGAAAATGCTTTGTGAGCTTTCAGTAGGATTTTCCCTTCAGCACTTTTTGCCTTCTGTCTCCATTTTCTTCTTGTTCATACACTTAACAGCTTTAAAATCTGTTGAGTGTACAAGATGCTCAAAGACTACACTTGATTTTTTACTGTTGTAGGACCCACATGGATGAAATATTGTTCTCTTTAGGATTAATAGGAAAACATTTACCTTTTATGTTTTTTGGAACAATTATGTCTTCTCCACTAAAGAAACAAA